TACACAGCAGCAAAGTCAACGAGCTCAGCTACTAGGGCAGACGCAGCAGGAGACGAGAACGTAGGGTCCGTCACAACCGTAGCAAGAAGGCGAGTAACAGTCGGACTGGACGCACGAGCAAGGTCAGACGGAGGGTCAGCAACGTAAGGCAGAGAGGACGCAGGAGGTAACGGTAGGAGAACACGCTGAGGAACAGAGGAAGGACGGAGTGTCATATCGTGAGTGCCGGGGACAGCTAGAGCACGCGGACGACGAGTACGAGAAACACAAGCACGGACAGCAGCTCTAGGCTCAGGCTCAAGGTCAAAGCTAGACTCAGGCTCTCGACGCTCAAGGGTGGAAGCACGAGTCTCAGGCTCTCGACGCTCAGTCAGGGACTGTGTCACCGCAGTGTAAGGAGCAGGAGCAGGCAGTGGGGAGTGCAGTAGTAGCGGCGACTATGACTGGTCCGCCGGTGGAAACAGTAACGGAGGAGTAGTACCTGCCATAGGGAAGTCAGTAGCACCTGGCGGAAGACTGAGAAGGTGGCGAAGAGCACCAGTAGCTCCCGTACCTCCAGCACGAGCAGCTCCTCCAGTACCCCCAGCAACACCTCCAGCACCAGTAGCACCAGCACCTCCAGCACCACGAGCTCCGACAGCGCCAGCACCTCGAGCACCAGTAGTACCTCCAGCACCTCCAGTGCCTCCAGCTCCAGCTCCAGCGCCTCCAGCACCAGTAGTACCTCCAGTACCTCCTGTGCCAGCAGCTCCAGTAGCAACTCCAGCACCTCCAGCACCAGCAGCACCACCTGCTCCGGCAACTCCAGCACCTCCATTACGAGCACCTCCGGGGCCAGTAGCTCCAGCACCTCCAGTAGTAGCACCGCCAGCACCTCCAGCACCAGCAGCAGCTCCAGTACCCCCAGCACCAGCAGCACCTCTAGCACCAGCAGTACCTCTAGTACCTCCAGTAGTACCTCCAGCACCTCCAGCACCTCCAGCACCAGCAGCACCTCCTGGACTAGTAGCTCCAACACCAGCCGGACCGTACCCTCCACCACCAGGACTGCCTCGTCGAACGACCCACGCACGAATCGCCTGCGGCGAGAGCGTCTCAAGTAGAGCAGGCTGCGGTGGCTGTCCAGCTCCAGTACCTCCAGTAGTACCTCCAGCTCCAGGACCTCCAGAAGGACTCGCACCACCCCCAGAGTCAGCACCCGAAGTCTCAGCACCCCCAGATTCAGCACCCAAAGATTCAGTACCCCCAGGCTCAGTACCCTCAGGCTCAGTACCCTCAGTCCCAGCACCCGCAGGCTCAGTACTCTCAGTCCCAGCACCCGCAGGCTCAGTACCCTCAGTCCCAGCACCAGCAGGCTCAGTACCCACAGTCCCAGCACCCGCAGGCTCAGGACCCTCAGTCTCAGCTCCAGTGTCCACTGCAGAAGGCTGCAGAGGCGGGAAACCGGGGGGGGTAGCTAAACGAGGAGAGCAGTCACCCCCAGACGTACCACTCCCAGGCCCAGCTCCAGCAGCCTCAGCTCCAGAGTCTACAGCAGCAGGCTGCGGAGGTGGCGAAGACGGCCGAGGCGGGAAACCCTGGGGGGTCTCCAAGCGAGGAGTGCGGCGAGTGGTCGCCGTGTCGTCGGTGGCGGTGTCACCCCCCTCAGCTGGGTCAGAGGAGTCAGAAGAGATCTCCACTGGCTCATCCAAGGGGGGTGGGTCTACCTGAGACACACCCGAGGGAGCAGGACCCTGTGGGGGAAGGGGGTATACCGGGGGGGGGACTGGTACCAGGAAGAGAGGCGCGAGGGGGACCGGGTGGGACGCGTGTGGGTGAAGTCGGTAGTAACAGACCGACTCGTCGAAGGTGACGTCCTGAGAGGACAGAACACGACGCGAGGCAGGGTGGTAGAACTGCCAGGGTGGAGCGTCGGTGGGGAAGCCCAGGAAGACACAGCGGAGAGTGCGAGGAGAAAGCTTGCTCGCTTTGGTATCGCGAACAAGGGAGAGCGCGCCCCAGACCCGAAACGACGACGCATCACCAGGCTGTCCCGTCCAATGGAGTGTGGGCGAGGTCTCTAGAGCAGAGACACAGGGCCAGAGGTTGAGCTGATGCGCGGCGTATCGGACCGCAAACGGCCACAGGAAATGGGGAGCAGCCGCATGGATCATGGAGGTACGAGCAACCTCCATGATCAGGCCAATGCGACGCTCAGCGATCCCATTTTGCTGCGGAGAGGCCGGAAGCGTGAACGACTGGGCAATGCCCTCATCCTGGCAGAACGTCTCAAGGACGCCAGATGAGAACTCACCACCCCTGTCAGAGTGCAGACGCAGGACTGGGAAGTCCTGCTGAAAGCGCTCGTGCAGCTGGAGACGAGTAGCACGGATCCAGGGGATCAAAACACCGCTGACATCCGCCTTACATCAAGACTGTGGTGTAGCGTGTGTAGTCGTCAACAACCAGCAGGAAGTAGCACTCCAGGTCCGTCCCACCGACGGGGGCCGGGCCCCACACGTCCAGGTGGAGAGTCTGCAGAGGAGCAGTGGTCGGAGGAAACTCGAAGGAGTGAGGAGCGGCGCGCTGCCGCCCCTCGACGCAAGGAAGGCATGGCGGGGCAAGCGAGCGCGGCAGGGGGGGCAGGGTCCTGGGGAGGCCAGAGACAAGGAGACGGGAGTGCATACTGCGTAGACGCTGCAGGGAGGGGTGACCAAGACGGTGGTGCCAGCGCTGAGTCTCGTGCGTGAGTACTCTGCACGAGCAAGACGCAGCGAACTGCCCCGACGCAGACGCCCGACTCGACGCAGCCACATGACCTGACTCAGCCACCTGTGCAGACGCAGTGGTCAGTGTGTACAGACTAGACCCAGGCTGTCGAGTGAACATAGCCAGGTGACGGCCAGTCCGGGAGCACGTACAGATCGCCACACGCTGCCCTCCAGGAATAAAGGTATCAACCCAGACATCCTGAATGGCAGCGTTGCTCACCAAGTTCGTCGAGAACGTGGGGAGGTGGAGACCTGACAGAGAGCCGGAGGGGACTGCTGGACAAGGGAGGACCGTGGAGGCTCTCGCAACTACTGGGCCCCCAGAGGGGTCAGCCAGTGAGACTGGGACAGGTGCTGTGAGTGGTGTGACTGTGGTGCAATCACGAAAGAAGCAACGTGACGTGCTTGAGTCAAGCGTGAAAGTGTGCAAGACCTCAGCTGAGGCATGACCTGTGGTAGGAGACGCACTAGCACCTAGAGCGTCGGCAGACTCACGGGCACCTAGAGCTGCAGTAGACTCACTAGCACCTGGAGCGGCAGCAGACTCACTAGCACCTGGAGTAGCAGCAGACTCACTAGCACCAAGAGCAGCAGTCTTAACAAAACGATAACCTCCACCACCAGGACGACCTCGCTGAATAACCCACTCACGAAGCTGCTGAGGGCTGGGGTTGTCCGGGAGAAGTAGTGCCCGCTGCTGTCCACCCCTGACCGCAGCAACTGCCGCGGAAGTGGCCATGACAGACAGTGACGGTCAGGAGTAGGTCCAGCACCTCCAGCTCCTACAGTACCAGCAGCACCTCCTGCACTCCCAGCAGCACCTCCACCAGCAGCAGCAGTACCACCAGCAGCAGCTGCGCGGCCCACGGGCTGCAGGGGCGACGCGCGGCTCGGCAGGGCGGCGCGCGGGCTGCACAGGCAGCGCCCATGGGCTGCAGAGGCAGCGCCCAAGGGCTGCAGGGGCGAATGCGCGGGCTGCAGGGGCAGCACGCGGGCCACAGGGGCAGGCACGGCTGCAGGGGCAGCACGGTCGTAGGGGCAGGCACGGCTGCAGGGGCAGCACGGTCGCAGGGGCAGGCACGGCTGCAGGGGCAGCACGGTCGCAGGGGCGAGTACGGCTGCAGGGGCAGCACGGTCGCAGGGGCAGCACGCGGGCTGCAAGGGCATCGCGGCTGCAGGGGCAGCGTAGGAAGAAAAAATTTACGGTTAGGGCAGGGCGGAACGTTCGGTGGGCCCTAGGAACGATTCTGCTCTAATACCATGTTAAGGTACATTCCGCTCTGGACATGTCCCAATCGTACATGTCCCAATCGATTCCACCGCACTGCATCTTATTACACCGAATTACACCCTAGTTTCAAACATTGTCAAAATTTCCGCGTCTCTGGTGTAGTTCGGTTCGGAGCGGTGGAATCGATTGGGACATGTACGATTGGGACATGTCCAGAGCGGAATGTACCCTTAGAATAAGCAGGAATGAATGAACTAGGCAAGAGGTGAGTACAAGTAGGGGAAACCTAACCCTAAAGTGTTGTCCTCACTAAGGAGTGACCCTACTGTAGCCTAGAGATACAATTGTGATTTGACATTTATCACTATGCAAGTACAGTACGATACAATATATTCAGGCACTCATATGTGAGGCTATATAAGTACAGGATGGTAAACAGGCACAACATAACTGGGTAACAAGCTGTACCTATTAAGCAGGCAGGTAAGGTAAATTGCAGCGTTAGGTGAGGCACAGCCACACAGCTACACAGCTACACAGCTACACAGCTACACAGCACACAACACACAGCACACAGCACACAGCACACAGCACACAACACACAGCACACAGCACACAACACACAACACACAACACACAGCACACAACACACAACACACAACACACAACACACCAGCCGTGCATCACAAGTCACAAGCCACACGTCACAAGGAGTCCTTTTCTCTCCCACAGTCCCACCTCAAGTTTGCTCCCCTCACACTTCCCACAGCGTGTGTGAGCCCACACCACACGGCTCTTTACTACTATGGCTGCAACCTTCACCACCACCACAACCGCCATCAGCATCACGACATTTACATAGGACGGACAAAACTAGCTCGAATCAACTCCGTCGTTGAAACGGCCCTCTCCCCTCACTTCCCCACACCTGCCAGCCCGTAACTCCATCTAACCCTCCATTCTACCACCACCCCAAGCGAGCTGAGAGGTGAGTATACCCCTGGGTGCTGCTAGCTGTCCTACACGAGGTGGGAAGCACAGGCGGTGTGGAAGGCCGGGATGGCGAGGTGGTCTGGCACGTCCTTGAAGGAGGGGAAGTAGTTCACGTCCACCACCACGTGCTCTCCTGTGCCCTCCTGCACCTGGTGTATCAGCGGCACAGTGGTGAAGAGGGGATGCACACACGCATGCATGCACACATGCACATACATGCACATACATGCACATACATGCGCATACATGCACATACATGGGCATACATGCACATACATGCGCATACATGCACATACATGCACACGTGCACGCACGCACACACATACACGCACGGGAAAGAATAGAAGAGCTGTGAGTGAGACGTTGCGGAACACGATAGCACCAGAATGGCAAGGCATGTGGGGCTGTCTGAAACTCGTCAGGGTGTGGCATTGTGAGCGGCTGGAGGGAATAGCAAAGAAACGCAGAGAAACGCAAAGAAACACAATGGTGAAAAACAGGGAGGCTGTCAGAAACCCATGTGCCTGTCATCCACCCTCACTCAGGCTACTGAACCTCCTTACTAACACATCAAGGCAATTAAACATGAGGATTTTAAATCGACAAGAAGAGGCAGGTTTACTGTGCCTTTGAAGCTCTACTTACGAGGACATCGAAGCCAAAGAGTGTGAGGCCGAGAGCAGAGCGCAGCAGGTCAGCTGCACGGCGCGCCACAGCCTCGTTAAAACCACCCACGACTCCAAGGGGAGGCAATGGTGGTTGCTGTAGCTGCTGCTGCTCGCTGGGCTGGCTTGGGAAGGCCATGGGGAGGGACTTGAGGCTGGCGGTGGGAAAAGAGAGGAGGGAGAAGTGAGTGAGAGCGCGACTAAGTGGGTGAGTGAGCGACTGAGAAGGAAGATTTACTGTTGGTGCGGACAAGTGTATTACAAGGTTGAAGAGATTCAAGGCATGAGTGGTGACGCAGCCATGTTCAATCCAACAGAGGATGAGAAGATGTGGTGACAACAAGGGGGATGAGAAGATGTGCTGCCCCTCGTGCACACCTGTCAAACGAGATCGCTGCTGGTGCCGCTGATACCTTCGCCCTTTGCTCCTCCTCCTCCTCCTGCTGCTGCTGCCCTACCTTCCCGTGCGCCTGTCCCTGCTGCTGCAGCAGCAGCGGTGCAGCGTCGGGAGTGCTGCGCCTCTCAGCAGCGAAAAAAGCCTCGCCCAGCACGTAGCACTTGAACTGGCAGGCCCCGTGGTCCACGTATTCCTGGGAGGGAAGAGAAACACGGGTATGGTATGAGTTGACACAGCGCAGCAATGGCACGCCCCGTGGATTTGAGGCGCAAGTCTTATTCCTGGCGAGGAAGAGGGTAGCGAGTACCCAGACGCTATGAGAATGGAGGCACGCTGGCATGCCCCGCAGCGCAAGTAGTCCTGGGGGCAGGGGGAACAGGGCGGAGGGTTGCAGCCAACACACGCCCGAACGAGAGGGGCAATGGAGAGGGATGTGGGGAAGAGGGGAAGGTAGAAGATGGCAAGGTAAGGTTCACAAGAGGATGACTGGTGGTGGGGAGGTAGAATGCTGGAGTGGCAATGGAGGCATAGCAGCATGGCAGCATACATACACAGGCGTGAACCAGGACAGGACAAGTCAGCAGAAAACCCTAAGCAGTGGCAGGTGAGAGGTATGGCACGGCTTCATTTTGCCATTTCCCGAGCTCAGACGAGGAGCGTACCTGGATAACCGAGGGAGATGGCAACGACAGTGTGGCAAAGGCATCTTCCGAAAAGACAATTGCCTGGCGGCACGGGAGTAAAGGAGAGGGATGCAGCAGTGCATAAACGCGAGAGGAATGAGGAGTCGGGGAAGGGGGGCAAGGGGACGGGGGGGGGAAGGGAGACAGAGGAGAACGGCCAGAGATCATGTGTACAAGACTGATTCCGATCTGCCTGATGGCCGAGCGTGGTGAGGAACTGACATGTGCTGAGGAACCAAAAGGCAGCATATCACACCGCACCATACCATGGCATACCATACCTCACCATACCATACCATATCATATCATACCATACCATACCATGCCATGCCATTTCATACCATCCATGCCATACCATATCATGCCGTGCCATGGCAAATTCTACCATACCACACCATACCACACCACACCACACCACACCACACCACACCGCACCACACCGCACCACACCAAAGCTTAGCATAGCATAGCATAGCATAGCATACCACGCCAATACCATACCATGTTGTACCATAACCATACCATACCACGACATACCATACAACACCATACCATACCATACCATACCATACCATACCATGCCATACTACACCACACCATACTGCATCGCATCGCACCGTACCACACTGCCTTAACCCATGCCACGTGACACCACACCACAGCATACCATGGCATGGCTGGCAGCAGCGCCACATGCAATGCGCGGCTTGACTATGACTGGAAGGCGCACCCCCACTGCTGCCATTGCTGCCAGCACTGCTGCCGTCTGCCTTATGTCCGGCACCTGATGGCCCATGGGGGGGAGGAAAAGGATGCCCGGACGAAGAGGGTTGGAAGGTGTCGAGAGGCAGGCGGATGGGTGAGTGGCTGGGGGAATGGGGTGAAACAGTTTGAGGTTGTAGGTACAGGAGTGGAGAGGTGTTTGGGTGGGCGAGACACCGGGGCGGAGAGAGGGGGGAAGGGAGTTGGGAAGGAAATGAGAGGGAGGCTCAAGTAGATAGAGAACGGAGCTCCTGCACAATTCCGATTCAAAAGACAACAGCTCCTAAACCCTAAACCCTTACACCCACCACCGTCCACCATCCCACCGTTCACCTACTAAAGCCCCTTTAACCAGCTTACTGCATCCTGCTTCCCTTCCCACCCATGTTATCGAACACTGTCCCCAACCCCCCATCACACCTGCACTCTCCCTCCCCCCCATCTCCTCAACCACCCTCATCTCTCCGCCCCACCGTTCCCCATCCCCCTCCCCTACCCCCATTCTTCCTCCCACCGTGCCCCCCGGCATCTCCTCAAGAGCTTGACTCACTTTTGAGACGTCTTAGAGGTTTGAAAAAACACACCTGTACAAAACGCGGAACCCGGAGAACAGGTGAAGCGGGTGGATTTCCAGTATCATTGGTGGTGGCTAGCAGATCGGAGAGGAGAGAAAGTGTTTTCACTCGGTCAGTTAACGGGAGAACTGCGGGCAATGGGTCGATTATTTTGAGGCTGCCCGAGCTGCTGCTGCAATGGCTGGTGAAGGAAGAGAGTGGAGAGGGGATGGGAAAGGCTGGAAAAAACTGGAAAACAAGAGACGGTGGAGACGAGGAAATAAATTTATGACTTGTGTGGAATTAGGGTAAGGGGGGATGCGAGGGGAGAGAGGAGAGGGGAGAGAAAGCGTGAGAGTAGGGTTCGATGGGCTAGTGCTGGAAAGGCCAGAGCGGAGCGGCTTGGAGTGAAAGGAGTAGAGACCCAGTCAGAGAGACAGTCAAGCAGCAGTCAAGAGACAGGAAGGGATGGGAGGGAGCAATGGAAAGCACAACAACTTACTCAAGAAGGTGTTGGAAGGGCTGTGAGAATGTGAGATGAACCCCGTCCATTGATGCGTCCACCTGGACGATCTCGTCCGTTGCTTTATGTAACACAACAGAAGGGCTGTCAAGAGTAGGGCTTGATGTGGAAGGCCAAGGCAGCTGTGAGAAGCTGCTGCTGTGGTTGTGACTATCCGAAGCAGTAAGAGGTTGCGAGAGGATGAGGGGAGAGAAGAGAAGGGCAGGTGCTGCTGGCATTGGCGATGGTGATGCTGAGGGTGATGGTGATGGTGATGGAAGAAGGGGGAACGCTCTGCGCTGCAGTGAGATGGTCCATGCATGCATTGCAATGAGAAATAGGGGAGAAAAACGGGGAGACGGGGCGACATCGGAAAGAGGAGAATGAGTGAGAGCATGTGAGGGACGGCCGTTGACGCAGGTGGGTGGCGGTCAGGGCATGGCAGAAAGGCATGTAGGCAAGGACTTGATGATACGTATCAGAAGCTGGCAATTGGGACATGGCAGGCATGCTGAGAATGAAGCGGGGCGCACAGGGTACAGGGAAGCATGTGCGGGGGAACACATGACATGTTGCTGTCACAGCTTGGGCCAGCGCGCCATGAAGAGATGGCACATGGGCATGCGGGAATGTGGGCAGAGAACAGAGAAAAGAGCGTACGTGCCTTGAGGAAGTCGAGCTCTCGAGACCACTTCATGCTGTAGGGAATGATGGCATGGCGCGATGCCTGTGCCGTGGTGTGCCGTGGGGCGCCATGCCATGGGAAAGACGGCATTGCGTGGCATGGATGGCATGGGATGGGATGGGAGGATGGCATGGGATGGGATGGGAGGATGGCATGGGATGGGAGGATGGGATGGGATGGGAGGATGGCATGGGATGGGAGGATGGGATGGGATGGGAGGATGGCATGGGATGGGAGGATGGGATGGGATGGGAGGATGGCATGGGATGGGAGGATGGGATGGGATGGGAGGATGGCATGGGATGGGAGGATGGGATGGGATGGGATGGGAGGATGGCATGGGATGGGATGGGAGGATGGGATGGGATGGGAGGATGGCATGGGATGGGAGGATGGGATGGGATGGGAGGATGGCATGGGATGGGAGGATGGGATGGGATGGGAGGATGGCATGGGATGGGAGGATGGGATGGGATGGGATGGGAGGATGGCATGGGATGGGATGGGAGGATGGGATGGGATGGGAGGATGGCATGGGATGGGAGGATGGGATGGGATGGGAGGATGGCATGGGATGGGAGGATGGGATGGGATGGGAGGATGGCATGGGATGGGAGGATGGGATGGGATGGGATGGGAGGATGGCATGGGATGGGATGGGAGGATGGGATGGGATGGGAGGATGGCATGGGATGGGAGGATGGGATGGGATGGGAGGATGGCATGGGATGGGAGGATGGGATGGGATGGGAGGATGGCATGGGATGGGAGGATGGGATGGGATGGGAGGATGGCATGGGATGGGAGGATGGATGGGATGGGAGGATGGGATGGGATGGGAGGATGGCATGGGATGGGAGGATGGGATGGGATGGGAGGATGGCATGGGATGGGAGGATGGGATGGGATGGGATGGGAGGATGGCATGGGATGGGATGGGAGGATGGGATGGGATGGGAGGATGGCATGGGATGGGAGGATGGGATGGGATGGGAGGATGGCATGGGATGGGAGGATGGGATGGGATGGGAGGATGGCATGGGATGGGAGGATGGGATGGGATGGGATGGGAGGATGGCATGGGATGGGATGGGAGGATGGGATGGGATGGGAGGATGGCATGGGATGGGAGGATGGGATGGGATGGGAGGATGGCATGGGATGGGAGGATGGGATGGGATGGGAGGATGGCATGGGATGGGAGGATGGGATGGGATGGGAGGATGGCATGGGATGGGAGGATGGGATGGGATGGGAGGATGGCATGGGATGGGAGGATGGGATGGGATGGGAGGATGGCATGGGATGGGAGGATGGGATGGGATGGGATGGGAGGATGGCATGGGATGGGATGGGAGGATGGGATGGGATGGGAGGATGGCATGGGATGGGAGGATGGGATGGGATGGGAGGATGGCATGGGATGGGAGGATGGGATGGGATGGGATGGGAGGATGGCATGGGATGGGATGGGAGGATGGCATGGGATGGGATGGGATGGGAGGATGGGATGGGATGGGATGGGAGGATGGGATGGGATGGGATGGGAGGATGGGATGGGATGGGATGGGATGGGAGGATGGGATGGGATGGGATGGGAGGATGGGATGGGATGGGATGGGATGGGAGGATGGGATGGGATGGGACGGGAGGATGGGATGGGATGGGAGGATGGGATGGGATGGGAGGATGGGATGGGATGGGAGGATGGGAGGATGGGATGGGATGGGATGGGAGGATGGGATGGGATGGGATGGGAGGATGGGATGGGATGGGATGGGATGGGAGGATGGGATGGGATGGGATGGGAGGATGGGATGGGATGGGATGGGATGGGAGGATGGGATGGGATGGGACGGGAGGATGGGATGGGATGGGAGGATGGGATGGGATGGGAGGATGGGATGGGATGGGAGGATGGCATGGGATGGGAGGATGGGATGGGATGGGAGGATGGCATGGGATGGGAGGATGGGATGGGATGGGATGGGAGGATGGCATGGGATGGGATGGGAGGATGGGATGGGATGGGAGGATGGCATGGGATGGGAGGATGGCATGGGATGGGAGGATGGGATGGGATGGGATGGGAGGATGGGATGGGATGGGAGGATGGCATGGGATGGGAGGATGGGATGGGATGGGAGGATGGCATGGGATGGGAGGATGGGATGGGATGGGAGGATGGCATGGGATGGGAGGATGGGATGGGATGGGAGGATGGCATGGGATGGGAGGATGGGATGGGATGGGAGGATGGCATGGGATGGGAGGATGGGATGGGATGGGATGGGAGGATGGCATGGGATGGGATGGGAGGATGGGATGGGATGGGAGGATGGCATGGGATGGGAGGATGGGATGGGATGGGAGGATGGCATGGGATGGGAGGATGGGATGGGATGGGATGGGAGGATGGCATGGGATGGGATGGGAGGATGGCATGGGATGGGATGGGATGGGAGGATGGGATGGGATGGGATGGGAGGATGGGATGGGATGGGATGGGAGGATGGGATGGGATGGGATGGGATGGGAGGATGGGATGGGATGGGATGGGAGGATGGGATGGGATGGGATGGGATGGGAGGATGGGATGGGATGGGACGGGAGGATGGGATGGGATGGGAGGATGGGATGGGATGGGAGGATGGGATGGGATGGGAGGATGGGATGGGATGGGAGGATGGGAGGATGGGATGGGATGGGATGGGAGGATGGGATGGGATGGGATGGGAGGATGGGATGGGATGGGATGGGATGGGAGGATGGGATGGGATGGGATGGGATGGGAGGATGGGATGGGATGGGATGGGAGGATGGGATGGGATGGGATGGGATGGGAGGATGGGATGGGATGGGACGGGAGGATGGGATGGGATGGGAGGATGGCATGGGATGGGAGGATGGGATGGGATGGGAGGATGGCATGGGATGGGAGGATGGGATGGGATGGGAGGATGGCATGGGATGGGAGGATGGGATGGGATGGGATGGGAGGATGGCATGGGATGGGATGGGAGGATGGGATGGGATGGGAGGATGGCATGGGATGGGAGGATGGGATGGGATGGGAGGATGGCATGGGATGGGAGGATGGGATGGGATGGGATGGGAGGATGGCATGGGATGGGATGGGAGGATGGCATGGGATGGGATGGGATGGGAGGATGGGATGGGATGGGATGGGAGGATGGGATGGGATGGGATGGGAGGATGGGATGGGATGGGAGGATGGGATGGGATGGGAGGATGGGATGGGATGGGAGGATGGGATGGGATGGGAGGATGGGAGGATGGGATGGGATGGGATGGGAGGATGGGATGGGATGGGATGGGAGGATGGGATGGGATGGGATGGGATGGGAGGATGGGATGGGATGGGATGGGAGGATGGGATGGGATGGGATGGGATGGGAGGATGGGATGGGATGGGACGGGAGGATGGGATGGGATGGGAGGATGGCATGGGATGGGAGGATGGGATGGGATGGGAGGATGGCATGGGATGGGAGGATGGGATGGGATGGGATGGGAGGATGGGATGGGATGGGATGGGAGGATGGGATGGGATGGGATGGGATGGGAGGATGGGATGGGATGGGATGGGAGGATGGGATGGGATGGGATGGGATGGGAGGATGGGATGGGATGGGACGGGAGGATGGGATGGGATGGGAGGATGGGATGGGATGGGAGGATGGGATGGGATGGGAGGATGGGATGGGATGGGAGGATGGGAGGATGGGATGGGATGGGATGGGAGGATGGGATGGGATGGGATGGGAGGATGGGATGGGATGGGATGGGATGGGAGGATGGGATGGGATGGGATGGGAGGATGGGATGGGATGGGATGGGATGGGAGGATGGGATGGGATGGGACGGGAGGATGGGATGGGATGGGAGGATGGCATGGGATGGGAGGATGGGATGGGATGGGAGGATGGCATGGGATGGGAGGATGGGATGGGATGGGAGGATGGCATGGGATGGGAGGATGGGATGGGATGGGATGGGAGGATGGCATGGGATGGGATGGGAGGATGGGATGGGATGGGAGGATGGCATGGGATGGGAGGATGGGATGGGATGGAGGATGGCATGGGATGGGAGGATGGGATGGGATGGGATGGGAGGATGGCATGGGATGGGATGGGAGGATGGCATGGGATGGGATGGGATGGGAGGATGGGATGGGATGGGATGGGAGGATGGGATGGGATGGGATGGGAGGATGGGATGGGATGGGAGGATGGGATGGGATGGGAGGATGGGAGGATGGGATGGGATGGATGGGAGGATGGGATGGGATGGGATGGGAGGATGGGATGGGATGGGATGGGATGGGAGGATGGGATGGGATGGGATGGATGGAGGATGGGATGGGATGGGATGGGATGGGAGGATGGGATGGGATGGGACGGGAGGATGGGATGGGATGGGAGGATGGCATGGGATGGGAGGATGGGATGGGATGGGAGGATGGCATGGGATGGAGGATGGGATGGGGATGGGATGGGAGGATGGGATGGGATGGGATGGGAGGATGGGATGGGATGGGATGGGATGGGAGGATGGGATGGGATGGGATGGGAGGATGGGATGGGATGGGATGGGATGGGAGGATGGGATGGGATGGGACGGGAGGATGGGATGGGATGGGAGGATGGGATGGGATGGAGGATGGGATGGGATGGGAGGATGGGATGGGATGGGAGGATGGGAGGATGGGATGGGATGGGATGGGAGGATGGGATGGGATGGGATGGGAGGATGGGATGGGATGGGATGGGATGGGAGGATGGGATGGGATGGGATGGGAGGATGGGATGGGATGGGATGGGATGGGAGGATGGGATGGGATGGGATGGATGGGCGGATGGATGGATGGGAGGATGGCATGGGATGGGAGGATGGGATGGGATGGGAGGATGGCATGGGATGGGAGGATGGGATGGGATGGGATGGGAGGATGGCATGGGATGGGATGGGAGGATGGGATGGGATGGGAGGATGGCATGGGATGGGAGGATGGGATG